CTGAATTTTGATTTTTTTTTTTAACCAAAAGTTACAAAAACGAGGCCTGTTCATGTCAAAGTCAGAACAAATTTCTACAAAGTAATGTCAATTATGAAAAAAACATATGAAACATAAAATAAATGATTGCAAAAGTGTTCACCTCCTTCCAGCCAGTATTTAGTAGAAGCACCTTTGATCCTGTTTTGGTCTCAATCAGCCTGAACATCTGCAGGTTTACCTCGTTCTTTTTTGTAAATTGTTCACTATGAATGAACAGAACTTTTCAAGTCCAGACACAAATTCTCAGTTGGTTTGAGGTCTGGGCCGCTCCAGAACATTCACCTTGTCGTCTTTCTGTGTAGCTTTGGCTGTTTGCTTCGGCTCATTGTCTTGATAGAAAACAAATCAGTTCTCTTACAGACTGCATCAGTTTGTCCTCCAGGATTTCTCTATACTTTGCTGCATTCATTTTACCCTCTACCTTTACACGGCTTCCAGGACCTGCTGCTGAGAAACATCCCCACATCATGATGATGCCACCTCCATGCCTCACTTTCTGATGCTGCAGTGTGAAGCATGGTGGTTGTCCACTTTGTGGTCTCATCAGACCAAGGAACCTTCTTCCAGTTGACTTCAGAGTCTCCCACATGTCTTCTGGTGAACTCTAGTCCAGATTCAATATGAGATTTTTTTCAACAGCGTCTTTGTCTTTGTCACTCTCCCATAAAGCTTTGACTGGTGAAGAACAGTTGTTGGTTGAACAGTGTCTTCCATCTCAGCTGCTGAAGCTGGGAAGTCCTTCAGAGGAGTCATAGGAGTCTTGGTGGCCTGCATCACTTGTTTTTTTCTTGCTCAGTCACTCAGTTGTTGAGGACAACCTGCTCTGAACAGATGTACGTCATATTTCTTCTATGACTTAATGATGGATTAAACTGGACTCCAAGAGATTTTCAGTGACTTGAACATTTTCCCCTGACTTAAACTTCTCAATAACCTTTTCACAGAGTTGCTTGGAGTGTTATTTTGTCTTCATGGTGTAGTTTTATCCAGGAGAACTGATTCACCGGTGGCTTTCTATGACAATCACTGAGACACATTCCAACTGACTGCACTTCATTTCAATGAGGTGAATCACTTCAAAGAGAGTGGGTGTTTATGCAATCACTTATTTTATGTTTTTACTAAACTGACATTACTTTGTAGAAATCTGTTTTCACTTTGACATGAGTCTTTTTTTTTTTTTCTTTGTAGATTCTTGTCCTAAGGGCCAAATTCAACAGATAAGGATTCAATGTTGAAAAGCGATTAAAGAGGATAATTTCCAGGGTGTTGTACATGTTTGTGTCAGAGCAGATCACTGAAATTAAGTGAAAACTGAGTCAAGTTTGGTGGAAAGCAGTAAAACTGGGCATGTTTCAACACATGTGTGTGCGTTTTTGGACATCTGTCAGCACAGGAATCCTCTGAGCTGACAGAGCGTAGAGGTACAATAAAACTCCGGTAATTAAGATGACAGAGCAGAACGTTGGCAGCAGGCGAACAGAAACAGATCTACAGTCAGTCCTGATTGTGCAACACATACTTTCAGAAATCATTACTGCGTATTCCAAACTTTATTTGAGATTTTCTATTGTTTTATTGCGTTTTATTGCAGATGAATGAGTCCTTAACACACACATTAGTTTACATTTGATTTAAATAAGCCACCAGTGAATGGAAAAAAGGAAGTCAGCAGAAACCATTGCAAAACAACAACAAAGACCCACAAACAACCAGAAAAAGCAGGAAACCTGTGAACAAGAGATGCAAATATGAATAGTAATGAAAGCACAGAAAGAAACAAAATGACCAGAAAGAGATTAAGGCCACGTTAACGCATGGCCCGGTATCTACGCTTTCAAAAATAACATTGTTCACAGCAGATCGTTTTCAATACAATCTTCGTTTACACAAACCCGCATAAACACGTCCTTAAGAGCTGCTATGAGCTGCCAAACCTATAGGGGGCAGTGTAACGAGAAGCACGAAGCCTAGCCAATCAAAATCCTGGAAAAAAAAAAAACCACAACAACGAATGGCACGAGTTACTTCCTGTTACTTCAGCGATAAAGGCAGTGAGAGGAAAATGTTGGAATGCAATTGACACTGGGCATCCATTTCTATCACAGTAGCCAAACTGTAATTCCGACAGGACACTTTGTCAGATTTACCCGTTTATTTGGGATCACATGTGTTTGAGTTTGGTGGTGACTCTGCTCTGGAGCAATCTGAGCAAGCATGACACAGACAGTCCCTGAGATCACAAACCCTCCAGCAGAGCTTTAAATTCACAATATTCAATAAATACAGTATGAACACAAGAACAAGGAGACCAACTTAAATGGTCCTCACTTTACAGAATCCAGTTCACGTAGTTCCAAGGTATGATAATGAACCATCTGCAGTCCCGCAATATGGGAAACAACCAGTTATGAAATTGAACTTTTAAAAGGGAGAAGGTTGGGGAGGAGGAGGAGATTTGTCAATCTGTAGAGGCTGGTGTAGCAGCGATGTGGTGAGCGTGTAGCGGGCAGAATGAATGAACGCTGCCTCAGTGATAAAGCACGCTGAGTGGGAGGGCTGGACTTAGGCAGTGAACGATTGGACAGAAAGGACCTTGTGATGTCTGACTCCGTGCCTGTCCGAACTAACACATGAGCTCCATACATTAGCTGCACACACGATGCTGATGACGCTTTTGTCGCGTACTGTGACGTCAAATTCCGTCTCCTCCTGTCTACAAGCAAACGTAAAGACAGGGTTTTTCCAAATCGCCACTTTGGCCGGAATTTTCAGATACGATCGTTTTCGGTGACTTGTAGCTTTGTTTAAACACAAACGGGGCCTAAAACTGACTACAGGAGACGGAAAAAAAATGTAAAACTAATGCAAACAGACAGAAAACAATCACAGAGAATTTCTTGGCTGTTTCTATTTATTAATTAGTGTTTTATTACCAGTTTGTACATTCAATTTTGATGTTGGGAGCTGCAGGGGGAGTGCAAACAGGAAGGACCAGTTTCAGTCTATTTAGCCTCCAGAACTTTCCAGAAAGTTCTACTGCAAGCTGCTGTCAGTCACAACAAACCCACCTGCGTATATACATACCTGTACAGCCACCTGTACATACATGCAGCTCTGACAGCTTTACTGCTGTTGCAACAATAGAGTCTTCTGTTACTCAGTGTCTTCTCTTTTACAATAAAACAAACCAGCCTGAGAGACTCTGAAGGCTACAGACTCAGATCACGTCAAATCAGACCCATTTACAGATTACATGTTTTCAGGACCTGAGAATTTTTCTATTTTTGTCCTCAAAAAAACCCCTTTGAAGCCATTTTGAGGGTTAAATATCTCTAGCAACAAAACTCCTACAGTCATGAAAAGTGATGAGGAAACAGACTGACTAGTTTCCTGCAGGTGGCCTGCAGGCAGAACGGACCAGTTTCAGTCTATTTATCCTCCAGAGCTTTTACTGTTCTGCTGCAAAGCTGCTGTCAGTCACAGCAAACCTACTTGTCAAAGAATCACCTGCACATACCTGCTATAGCGACATATAGACACCTATAAAGACCCGTTTTTGTTTCCTACCAATGAATCCACATCAATATTCTGTCAAAATATCAAAAAAATAAAAAAATTTGGAACCTTTTCTTGTCGTACTTTTCACACATCAAATTCTAATGATGTGGGAAAAGTTGGTGAAATGTTGAAAAGACTGTATTTGCAGTAGGAAATATGGATAAATCCAAATATGTACGTTTACAGGAACTTTCTGGGGACATAACACCACCGCCTGAGGAAAATTCAGCATTTTTTTTCCCGTTTGCAAGGAACAATAATTAAAAATGTGTCCTCTCCTGGATCCATTCAGTCATTGTGATTTTCTGAAAACTATTCTGTTTGTGTCCTGTTGGAGTTTCTGGAGAGAAACCATGAAAATGGCTTTGCATGTTTTTGTCTGTATAAATATATATATGCATTATCTATGCAGTTAGCCTTATGTAATATCTGTATATCTACAATGTACATCATGTCTATATTTATCTACACATGTATGAAGAAATCTGTATCTGTATATGTAAGTCTGTGTCACAGTGCATATCTATGATGAAGAGGCAGCTGATCTGAGCTCTGGAAATCTGCTGCCCCCCACTGGTCTGACTCGAAGTCTACACCTACCTGTGGACCATGTGTACCTGCACAGGTGAGACAGTCGGTTCTCCTTCATCTGTGAAACGTTAGGTTAGTGTTTTTTTACCGCCCCCTGCTGACCAGCTGGTGCACAGCGTGCAGTTACTGATACTTAAGTGCATCAATATCCAGATTGTTGATACTTTTGTGTTTAATATTCAGGTTATTGATACCTTTGTGTGTTGTTATGCAAGGTTTTGGCAAGGTTTTTATGTTTCTATATTAATGTTGTTGATTGTTTTGAGTGGTAATATCCAAGTTGGGCTGCAAGGTGGAGCAGTGGTTAGCACCGTTGCCTCGCAGCAAGAAGGTCGCTGGTTCGCTTCCTGGTGAGGACACCCGGGTGGAGTTTGCATGTTCTCCCCATGCAGCGTGGGTTCTCTCCAGGTTCTCCGGCTTCCTCCCAAAACATCCAAACTTCCAAAAACATGTTGAGGTTAACTGGTGATTCTAAATTGTCCGTAGGTGTGAATGTGAGTGTGCTTGGTTGTCTGTCTCTAAGTGTAGCCCTGTGATAGACTGGTGACCTGTCCAGGGTGTCCCCTGCCTTCACCCTGAGTCAGCTGGGATAGACTCCAGCCCCCCACGACCCTAGTGAGGATTAAGCGGTGTATAGATAATGGATGGATGGATATCCAAGTTATCAACATTTTTGTTAGAATTTTTTTCAGTCTATTGTGACTTTAGTGCATTAATATCCAAGTTATTAATATTTATATAATGTTTTTGTATATGCATTAATTATGTATTTCAATATAACATGAGTCAACAGTGAAAAGGGTGATATATCAGCTTTATTTGTAGATTAAAATATACAAATTGATCACAGTCCACCAGCACACGTGCATATGTAATATCGAAAATAATTCAATACAATTTAGTAATTCAAAACAGCTTCAGGTTTTGAAATCAAACTAAAGAAATGCAGTCAGGGCTGAATGTTGAAGTTGGTGACACCAAAACCAGAAATATACCAATGAAGAGGCAGAACAGCTCAGACAATACACCGGGTGACATAAAGTGAGTAAAAACTGTAGAGAAATTACAATTCAACTGCTGATTATGATGTTAAATGCATTCCAGATTCTTTGGAATTAAAGGTGAATAATTAGGAACACTTAGTCGAGTCATTTTTACTGTTTGTATGTGGTGGAAAGTACATTTTTCTATAATCTACATTTATTTTATTACATTTCCTTGGGACATGTTGTTGTTTTACTACATTACATTTACCTGATAGCTGTAGTTGTTTTTTCAAATTTGTATTTGTATTATTAAAGCTGATAAATGTTCTGTGTTCTTTTAAAAGTTTATGTTTGGACAGATTGTACTGTGAATACGATCGCCTTAAAGCCATCCCATTAGCCAATCAGAGATGCATGATGTCATCGAGGCTCTAGGGGTCAGCTGAGGTCAGCCATCGCTGGACGAGAGGAGACGAAGCTGCAAACAGAAACAGACATGATTCTTTTAATACAGTCATGACTTCAGGTTTCAGTTCATCTGAACTTGTTTCATTCCAAACTCTGCATTGTGTGTTTTACAGTTTCTTTATTGTATTTTGCTCGGCCGCTAGAGGGCAGCGCTACTTTTAATAATTTTTTTTATCATTGACACCTTTGTGCATTAATATCCAAGTTATTGATACTTTTGTGTCTTACTATCTAGGTTATTGATACTTTTGTGTGGTAATATCCAAGTTATAAATATCAGTTATTAGTATCTTTACTTATTATAGGTATTAGTATATGCCTTGAAAAAAGCATTTCAGTCTGTTTGTGTCCTTGTCTCATGTTTTTGTTCTAATAGTTGTGAATTTAAAGTTCTCACCTGCAGCCTGTTGGGGTTGTTGTTGCGATCTCTGATCTTGTTTTCCTTTATCCTTACTTCTCTCCCTCCCAGCTGCAGAGATTGACAGCGCCGCCATCTTACAAACGCTGATTCTCTCCTTGTGCCCTCCGGCTCCACTGCCGGTGCTCCTGATTGGCCGGTCACTGCTGCTGATGACCCGCCCCCCCGTGCTATTGGTTCTCCCTGACCCTGAGGAGCTGTTGATAATTCCTCCACCTCGGCTGCTAATTTTGTCATTGCTCCCCGGATTGTTGAGTTTAGACCCGCTACCGGTGCCGCTAATTCGATTCCCACTTGCTGAAGAACTGTTCAGCCACCCACCACTACCCCCACTGGACCCCATCCTCCCCCCAGGACTCGGTGCTCTTTGGCTGCTGGTCGGCCTCCCTGTGCTGCCCATGCTGCTCTTCCGTCCACTAGCTGAACTGTAAACTGGTTTCCATTCACCACTACCGGTGCTAGTGTATCTCCCAGAGCTGCTAATGCTGTGACTCGCTGGTGAAGTGCTGAGCCTGCCGCCGCTACCTGAACTACTTAACCTACCACCACTTCCCACGCTACTGCTGCGCTTAACAACACAGCTGGAGCTCAGCTTGCTACTGCTACCAACACTACTGTGTCTTGATCCACTTCTTGTGTAGCTGCTTGGTGGACTGATCACGCCACCACCAGCAGTGCTCACACGTCCAGTACTCCCACCATAAACCCTCCACTCCCCACTCCCTTCACTGCCAAACCGTCCTCCTCCTGGTGGGCTGAATGCTCTCTGCATGGCCGCTGGTGGGCTGAATGCTCTCTGCATGGCCGCTGGTGG